AGAACAAGTTCCTTGCGCACTAAAAGAAGAGGGACTCTATAGTTTCCTCATGAGCAACTTTCTTGCTTCCCAAGAAGATGTTCATTCCATGGTTTGTGCTTGTAAATATAAGCAAATCCGTTGATATTGTTGTCTTAAATATCATTATGTTTTCTGTTTTTGTTTTTAACTCTTCTCTCAGTCAAGTGATGCTGCTGAGGTATTAATAGCCATCTTTGAGTCATGGCATTGCTGGAAAAATTCAGAAGGAGAAAGTTTGGTGACTAGCCTTTTTACACTGGAAGTATATGAGACAATGACTTGTGGAAGATGCAGAAGGAAGCCAAATTATCCAGAGCAAAGCTCTTATGGACTTGTTATGGAAGCAGATGCAATCAGAGACGTGAAGGTATGTTTCTTTTCCTCTTTGTCTTTCCTACAGAAGCTACTACTCTATTAACAACTCAAGAAATCTATATGCAGTGTGCTTTTAGAGATAGAAAGTTTGAGGACATCCTTAAAGTGATCCTCATGGATGATAAAATGGTATGTGACATTGGAACCGGAGGGTGTGGAAAGGAAAACTTTGTTCATCGCATTGTAAGTAAATGCCCACCTATCTTCACAATCGGTAAGTTTTATATAATCCATGATTGTGAATCTGTGATCTTATGTACACTCTTCATGATAAAACAGTTTAATGTTGATGTGTTTTGTGGGTTTGTAACATAAAGTGTTGGAATGGGAGACGGATGAAACTGAAGAAGACATAGCTAAAACAACAAAGGCTTTGGAGAGGGAGATAGATCTCAGCAGCCTATACGAAGGCTTAGAGCCAAACAAAAACTACCAGCTTGTGTCAATGGTAAATTTCTGAAACATTGTCTCAAACGTTTTTTCTATTTTTTTTCTGCTACATACTCAGAATATGGGGATACAGGTTTGTTGTGGTGAAGAAGAAGAAGAAGAAGACCACATCTGCCTAGCTTATGAAAAAGACAGGTGGGTCAGTCTCAGACATGACGATGCTTTAGCAGAAGAGGTAAGACGAAACATTAGCCTTTGTCTTTCTTGAGTTTTGATTGTGAACATAATAAAACTCAGACAGTTATTGATGTATGTGGTGTGATGCCATAGGATGTTGGTGACTGGAACAGTGTGGTTAATTTCTGTGGAGAAAGGAAGGTTCGGCCAGAGATTCTTTTCTATGAAGCTTCCCCAATAGAAGAGTGACATTTGTTTAATTCTAAAGTGTTCTTTCTTCTTATATGATGAGTGACTTTAAGACTTTATCAAAGTTGATCATGGAAGCTACTTTAGTGTTGACCCTTTAAGACTTCAAAAGCTTTGCAGATTCAAGTAGATGGGAATTGAGAAAACACTATCACATATAAGAAACACAGAAGCATAAGCATTTGAAGGAGGTTACGTTTAAAAAAAATACAATCTCAGGTCGCATATTCAGTTTCACAAACATGATGAGAACGCATTTGATTCACAGATAAAGCAAATTACTTGTATTACAAGACAGGTCTAAGCTTTACCTCTTCCTCATCACCAAAACATCTGACCCATCTATTTTTTTCCAATGCTACGCAGTTGTATCCATATCCATGCGAACAAACCTGAATATTAAACATTAGAGTTGTTTCTGGTAACATAATCTTCATCAACTGGAACTGACTTGGCTCTTACCATTGACACAAGATGGTATTTGATGCTATTTTTCTGTTATCTTCAAACTTAAATTGAAACTGAGGCTGTTATATATTCACAAGAACAACTGTTGACCTCAGATAAGTTGAAGGAATTTAGGATTTATAATTGAGCTTTGGCGATTGTTATCTCAAAAGAGTATAATGATCGAAATATTATTATTACATCAAAAGAGTTACATTTTTTTTGGATTTTAGGGTATTTGATTCATGTCAAGCTCCGATACAATTATAGGTTCTGATACAATTCTATCGATGTATCAGTGTAAAACAAAAATATCTCTCTTGGCTAAACAACAACATTTGTTGCTAATCGGCTCGGCATGAATGCAGTAAAGAAAGATGGATCAACCCCAGGGCCTACGCATAGTTTCTTGCAGTCGTCATTGGTTGAACAAGGGCCTCTGTAGTAACAAAACATTTGAAACAAATCATCTGAATTAACACGTTTTATCTAGCATCATTCTCTTTCATAATATCAAGAAATAGAGGAAGAACATATTACCAGTTGATTGGGAGAAAAGAAGGGCGAAGATTAAGAGCAGAGAAGCAAGTTGAAACTTTTGTGCTGCCATTTTAGAGCAAGTGGTCATAAAATATTACCAGTAGCTTTAGCTCCTTTTATGTGAAGATGATTTTTTGGTTTTTTCTTCTTGGATTTAGAGCAAATGGTCATATTCCTTCTTATATATAAGGGAGTAGTAGTCTATATTATTGGTGTATCCATTGTAATTTAATTTCTTTAAATGAGAAATATACACATAAATTTTTGTAAAGAAAAAATCTAAATGAAATCATTTCTAACTTATCCCATGAAAATATTGCATTGATTTATATACCATATTCTCTGCAACAAAATGACAAACATTCAAAACAAATAAATAAATTAAGCGTTTTTCTGTCTCATGCCATCTATGTCAACACAAAGAATCCAGTCAAAGAACAAGAAACTACCAAAAGGAAACAAAGTAAAAGAGAAACAGAGTAATTCACCACTTCTTGGTTTAGAATTACTATCACCAGTAACAACTCTGTTTGGTTTTTATTCAATAAGCAAGAAAGGAATTTTATGATTTATATTTGAAGTAAACACGATGATGTGTTAGTAGAGCTGCTTGGAAAAGATCGATAATGCCGACGAAGGGAAAATGCAAAGAAGGTTTTTAACTCATTTTGATAGGAGTTTTGCTGCATGTTGTTTCAAGAATATAGATGTCCTTTGTCCTGACTCCTGGTGAATGATTCTTGTTCATGTTATGTGTCTTCTTATGAATATTCAGATACTTTTGCTAAATATTTGGCAACAAAAGATGGATGATGATTGGGGTAAGAATTTTTCTATTTAGCATTGTTCAATTCTTTGGATTATCTCTAGTTCTTGTATATATGTTCCCTCGCTATGTACTATCTGCATACAATGACATATAGTTTTAATAATGTTCTCTAAGATGATAGTCTTTTTTGTTGCACTATTGAAGTTTTTTTCATTTGGATTCTGATTTTCAGAGGCAGAGGACTTTCAACCACTTCCTGCAAAATTTGAACTGAAAAGTAACTGGGATGTGGATGAGAATGATATCAAGGACTCATGGGAGGAGGAAGGTGAACCAGCTCCGGTATAGTTTCACTCTCAGTATATATCTTTTGATCATCGTCTTGTGTGTGTAATTTGATTCTTGAGATTACAGCTAATTGTAAAGGCTGCTACTGAGAAGGCTCCAAAGAAAGCAGCACCAAAAGTTGTTGAAAAGAAAGGTAAAACTGTTGAAGCTCCAAAAGCATCATCAAGGGAAGAACCTTTAGATCCTATTGCTGATAAACTTCGCATGCAGAGGTAAGAGTCTAGTTACATTTCACTTTTATATCCTTCTTCTGCATTAGTTTAAAAAATCATCTTCGTGTTATATCTCTCTTAGAAACCCTAATTTGTGGGACTGTGCAGTGATCGTTTAATTTCTGTGGAGAAAACAAGGCTCGGCCAGAGATTATTTTCTTTGAAGCTGCCCAATAGACCTGTGACATTTTCTTAATTCAGAAGTGTTCTTTCTACTTGTATATGATGAGTGACTTAAAGGCTTTAACAAAGTTGATCAGGCCAAGCTACTTTAGTGTTGACCCTTTAAGACTCCAAAATCTTTACAATATCACAAAGCATAATTTGTGGGACTGTGCAGTGATCGTTTAATTTCTGTGGAGAAAACAAGGCTCGGCCAGAGATTATTTTCTTTGAAGCTGCCCAATAGACCTGTGACATTTTCTTAATTCAGAAGTGTTCTTTCTACTTGTATATGATGAGTGACTTAAAGGCTTTAACAAAGTTGATCAGGCCAAGCTACTTTAGTGTTGACCCTTTAAGACTCCAAAATCTTTACAATATCACAAAGCATTAATTTATTCAATGATCATAACAATTCTTTTTAACCTCCAAAGTATCATTCTTCTTCTAAGTTCCTCTCCAAAACACTATTGTATATCATTCTTCTGCTAAGTTCCTCTTCATAGCCTGCAATTCAAGTAGATGGAGTTGAGAGAACCAATCTCGTTGTGCTAACTTCCATTCCAAAGCAACTTTTGTATCAATCTGGTCGTTGACAATCTTCTCCCTTTTCACAGCCTGCATATTCAAGTAGATGGGAACTGAGAAAACACTATCACATATAAGAAACAGAGAAGCATAAGCATTTGAAAGGAGCTTACGTTTTCAAAAAACACAATCTCAGGGCGCATATTCAGTTGCATAAACATGCTGAGAACAGTATCCCAGTTTCCAATAACCTGTACAAGCAAGTGAACAAAATACATGACTCAATTCACAGATAAAGCAACTTACTTGTAATACAAGAAAGGTCAAACCTTTACCTCTTCCTCATTGCCAAAATATCTGACCCATCTATAGTTTTCCAAAGCAACGCAACTGAACTGATCTCCATGCGCACAAACCTAAATATCAAACATTAGAGTTTGTTTCTTGTCACACAATCTTCATCAACTGGAACTGACTTGAGCTCTTACCATTGACACAAGATGGTATTTGGTGTCTGGACAATGACCTTCTTCGTATTTGTATATCTCACTAATATCCATTTCAGTCGCCAGAGCAGAAACTGTTTCGTATATCTCTTGTTCAGTCTCATTCTTCTCCCATTGAAGAACTAAACAATACATGCAAAAACGCTCAAAACCATTATCATGTTGTTGAATGTTGATCCTCTAAATAACAAGTTAAAGCTCTTACCAATTGTGAAAACAGATGGAAGTTTCTCTATCAGACGTTGAACGCGGCTTTGTTTCTCACATTTGCAAACCCTTCTTAAGTTGTACTTGATGAGATAAAGCATCTTCTCAAACGAGAAATGCTCGAATCCAGACTGTGATGACGATAAAACCAAGAAATCGTTTTATTAGCAAGAAAAAAGACTTCGATTCTTGTATGCTTAAGTGAGAAAAAAGATGACTTGCCTTTGTTTCTCTGAGTGAATTAGCAACGATGGTTATACCATAATAAGGTTTAGGACGTGGATAATCTGTTTCCGTTCTGCATCTGACGCAACTCATTTTCACCATTACGTCGAAGACAAAGTCGTGATTCCAGTCAGGGAGAAGATTCAAGACGGTTACTAAGATCTCAGAAACACCATTTTCTTCCTGGAGAGTAAAAGAAGAAGATGAAGAAGGTTGAGAAATAGTAAAATACACAAAAAAAAAAAAAAGGTTTAAAATGTTTGAGAGAAGAGAGACCAGAGGAGGATTGCGACTTAGTTCGCTGAGAAAGTCATGATAATTTAGGCTCAAAAGATATTTTGTGAATCCTTCGTGTGTTTCTTGACAAATGGCTAATTTGACATGGCTTATGAAAACGCGAATCTTCATCAGAGACTGCACAAAAGAAAAATCACATTCTTGAAAACTTAAAACAAGATCGAGAAAAATAGAGTAGTGCATAATCAAAATCTTGCAAGAACCTTGAGTATCGTATTAAGAGCTAAAACACAAGTGGCGTGCTTCATCGGAGAGTTTTCTTGCGTTTCAGAGAGATCATCACTGAAAAAAAATAGATTAAAATTCTTTCTTCATCAGAGAAATTCTGGAGAAAAGCATCGAAGGAGATTGAATCTAACTAACTCACGGATCTATTTCGTGGTCGATTTGTTTGACTTTCTCTGATTCTGGAACATCTGATGACGACGCCATATCCGTGGTTCAAGCAAAAACCAACCCTTCTTCTTCTTCTTCTTCAATAACAGTGGCGCTTTAATTTATGATTCTTTGGATTTTCTCGAGAAAGTAACGGCGAAAGAGAGTTTGTAGAGAGACAGAGACGAGAGGAAACGGTTTATAAAGAGAGTCTCAAACAAGTTAGTTAGTTAGTCCACGTGAGCGTCACGTGGCTTAATACGTTAATAAGAGCGCGCGAAAATTAAACCTGTAATGCTATGAATTTGAAGAACTGAAAACGGTGTCGTTTTAATAGGTTATCTTGTTTAATCAAATAGTGAGTGTGAGTTTACATTGAATCACTGAATCATTGTACGAGGGTTTACCTACTGATCACTATTTAATTATGTACATTCTGATAAAAAAATATTTGACTCATTGTTTTACAACTTTAGATGGAGAAGTTCACTAGCCAGACATAATGTATATCAAAGAATAGGCATGAGTATTTTGAGTATGGAGTACTCTCTATCCACCTCTATATTTGTTTGTTTGTTTGTATTTTGATCAAGAAAGAAAGAATCAGTTTATGTTTTCGAAACTTGTTGTTTTTCAATGGATCCGACGGATTTGAACTTTTAGGGTATTTGATCCATGCATGTCAAGCTCCGATCGATGATACCATGCATGTATCAAATACACTAAAATTTTATGATATTTAAATACAAATAATCTTGGAAGATTAGAAAATAAAGTATTTTTCAATTTCTATTTCAGTATTTTCGTGTTCGTGTAATGTGGTGTAAATTGAAGCCACGGTTGACGGTGGTCAACTTTCGGTGGAGAGGGTTTTTTTTTTTTTTTCGGTGGAGAGGTTTAAGGTGGGAATAAAACAAAAATGAAAATGTTTTTTACAGTAATTTTCCTGAATACTTTTTTTGACCAACAGGTTTTCTTAATTAATGCAAGAAAAAGAGAAATTACAGCCCAATAGGCTATAGTGTTTGGCCGAAGCCCAATAGCAGCAACCAGTGAATACTTTAACGTTTAAATCTATAGATACAGTCATTCAGTCATTACAAAAAAAAGACAATATTCTCCTTTTATCGGGAAAGTTTTTTATTTTATTTTTGTCAACTATCGGGATGTTTTAATATACATGTATATAATTTTAATCAATGATAGCAAAAATTCTGCTATAAAGTGATTGAAAAAAAAAAAAAAAAAAAAACGGCAATTCTTTCAAAGACCTAATCTTGCTTTGTTAACCCTAATTTTATAATCTATCTTCTCCACAGCCTCTCTACTGGCTACTGCAATTTGAGCCCATCATGATCTCCAAAAAAACTCAACGAACGAAGCAAAAAAAGAAGAAGACAATTCATCAGCCACCGTCGTCGTTTTCTTTAATTCCAGACGAAATCACAGAGAACATTCTTGCACGTGTCTCGAGATGGAATTATCCGTCACTTTCTCTCGTCTCAAAGACATTCCACTCTCTCTTATCTTCTATGCAAATCTACAAGACTCGATCTGATATCGGAGCCAAAGAAACATGCTTCTATGTCTACTTAACTTTGCCGAACCACCCATATCCGAGCTGGTTTAGTCTTTGGGCGAAACCTCAACAAGTCGGAACCAAAGGGAGATGGGAAAATTGGTATAAGAAGGATCCAAGTGGAAATTCGGTTGTTCCGACACCCTTCTCTTCTTACCAGTCTCTTCCCATGACAAACCAAGGCCAGTGTGCTTTAACGGTTGGTTCGGAAATATACGTAATTGGTGGACCCTATGATAAACCGTCTTCCTTTGTTCGGATCCTAGATTGTCGGAGTAATACTTGGCGTGACGGCCCTAACATGACAATGGCTCGAGAGAATGCGAGTGCGATTTTCCGCGATAAGAAAATATATGTGATAGGAAGGTGCGAGGACTTTGCGAGTTGGATTGAGGTGTTTGACATGGACACTCAGTCTTGGACAGCTTTGCCTGGTCCTGGCGCTGATGAAGACGAGTTACTGAATCATTTACGTGCACGTTATCATTACTGTATATTTGATGTGTTTGAAGGAAAGCTTTGGGTAGAGGTAGGTGGAAAAAAAGAGTATGCTTACGACCTGAAAGATGGTACATGGAAACTTGTAAGAGAGAAATCTCGTTTCTCATTCCCCAGCTTATCGGATTGGTGTGAGATAGACAATATATTATACGGTTGCACTGGCCTTGGAGATTTAATGTGGTCTCCAAAGACTGAGGGCAGAGAATGGAGCAAAATCAAGGGTTTGGAAAACTTGCGAGAGCACCGTACAAAGGGTTTGGAAAGTGGATGGCATTTTAAGATAGTTGGCTTTGGTCGTCAGAAACTTTTAGTTATGTGGAAATTTTCTGGTATCAACCAGAAAAAAAAAAAATAGGGTATGCGAAGATTTCTTTAGAATCAAGATGCAATGGACGTGAGGTTTGGGGTGATGTTGATTGTGTCGATGTGCTTACATTTCCTGTCGAATCATTTTTTCCCTTTGACTGTTTAACTGCTTCTATTTGATGACTCTTAGGGATGGTTTCAGTAGTGCCATTTCTTTTGCTTTGAACATGCTGATTTGTTCTTTGAGACAAGCCTTTCTAATTATTAGTTCTTTTTGTCTTTCATTTTGAAGAACATGTTTTTTTTTATATATATTGGGTGTGCTTTATCATGTTATATCCAGTAGATGAAAATGTTAATAGAGCCATGGAACTAGCAAAAATCAAATACACATATGGCATATTGATCGGGAAGAGGTGGAAACGATCTTCGGAACCAAACTTGGAAAGAAAAAGCAATCTGAACTAGGGTTTAGACCAATAAGAGTCGAAGTTAGACCAATCCTTAGCTTTGTCAGCAACTTCAGTATTTATGATTGTTTCACTGATTTGTGTTTTGGTCCTTCGCTCTCTGTTAAACGATAAAAAGACAATTTGGGTACAAACTTAAAGTTTTGAATCTTTGTTTAAAAAGGGGTTTTTAACACTTAACCTCGAAACTACCGAAAATATCTTATTAAAATATTGAATGATATGAGTTTTGTTGCATGTTGTATTATGTATTTATGTATACCATCATAAGTTATAATGATCGAAATATTTTTTTTTTATTAGGTTAATGATACAGTTATGTCCATGCATCATTGTAGAACAAAAGTATCTTTCTTGGCTAAACAACAACATTTGCCATTAATCGGCCGGCCAGTAAAC